GTTTCTTGGGTTAGAAATCTGTGACCTACACTGAGTTGTCATAGAAACTGATATGAATGTTTCAGCTCAAAAATCACTTTAAAATAATGGTTTAGTTCATCATCTTGTGCCAGGCGAATCCAAGATCTGGAGTCTGTCCCTAAACCAAAAACCTTCCATCAACGCTGGGTGAGAGGGAGAGAGTGTTTTATTTCTCTTTTTTCTGTATGCTACAATTGCCTGCAGTACAGATACGGGGATATTCCCAGAGCAGGAGGATGGACTAGGAAAGCAATGGAGGGAGCTAGAGGAGCTGTCTGAATAGCATCTGTGGCAGCGGCCAGAAAGCAAGCATGGCCAGCGTGTAAGTGGGAAGCTGGAACATGTTAACACATATGTATGCCTTCATTTTCTGTGCAAAACCTCCAAGAACTGTGCCCTTTTCCATGGGACAATTTTTTCAGACTTCTCTCTGTATCCATCTTGTGCTGCAAGGGAATTGTGAAGCCTTTGTTGTAATCTGTAAAAGAGGGACATTGCAGAGAGTCTGACAGTGTATGCTCCCCCTGTCATGGCTTGTTTAATGGCTCCCTTTCACTCACACATTCTCCCTTCAAAAGCCTGCTCTATGCAGGCTCCTGGTGCTAACTTCTTGCTCTGTTGTCTTGGTTGAGGAGCTCTGGGAGTCTGTGACCACCCTAGATCAGGATCACACTGACTTCTTCTGCAGTGCTGCATTTCTCTTTCATATTCTTTCTCAGCATATGCAGGGCTCAATAGGAGAGTTTGCCGTGTTTGTCAATAAAGAAGCTGCTTTCTTTTCTGATTTCCCAGCCATGTGATAAAGCCCCTACAGCTTTAGAGCCTTTAGAACAACAAAAGGGTAATGAGTCCTCTGTTCACCTGCAGAGAGAGGAGTTGATGTGGTCATATAAGACATGGAGAGCCAGAGAGATCAGCTGGAATGGGACCAAATTAAATGCATTTACTCTGCAATGTTCCATTAATGCCAAGTAATTACCACATACAGTGGGATTTTTGTTTTGTTTTCTTTTGTTTCATTTTGGCACAAGAGAATTCTTTCCAAATACGAATGCATGAGGCTGTCCGGGCTGCTGGGCTCTTTGGTAAATTATAACAAGCCTTCCCTATTCCCATATGTTCCTCTGCCTTCCTTCTGGCATTTGAAAAGCTGGCAGTGCAAAGATGGGAAATGCAAATGCAGAGAGGAAGTCTCATTCCCAGTGGCAGTGGTGCTGGTTCTGCCACTCTGGTGCAGACTCCTGGCCTGACTTCTATCCCCCGGATGCTGCCTTGGCAAATTCAAAGTGGTCCAAAGATGGATAGCAGAGAAATGTTTCAGCTAGAAGAAAATTTTCATTGTGGCATAAAATTCTCTTGTGGTTGAATGTGCAAGCCTGATCCCACTGGCATCCTGGTGTCTGAGAAGAGTGCTGCCACAATACAAAAAAATACTCAGGCTGCCATGAAATTCCTATGCTAACCATCTATACTGGGCACTAGGGACTATGTTGAAAGAGGGATGGAGAAGAGTCAGAGAGATGCAAAACTGCAGTATGACAGTTTTTGTATTTTAGGGCCCAGACAGCAAAGAATGTAACTATTCTCACCAGAGTTCACACTCTCCTCTCTGCTCAGTGGGCTATAGTGAAGAGCTGATCATTTTTCTTGGTTTTATTTTGGTGAGTGTCTGGAGAGAAAAAAAAAAAAAAGCTTTAAGGTCTGTTGCCACTCCAGATTTCCTTTCACACATACTATCCCAGTCCTGTGAATCCCCAGGTCCCAACTTAAGGCTTTCAAAATGTTCTCTGGGAGGTGGGTCAGGACCTCTGCCTGAAGACCACCATCAGCCCACGTAGGCTGATCATTCATGGAAAAGCATTGCACAGCACAGTGAGGTGAAGCTTAACTCCACATTTGGAATGTGGATGGTGGCACCCCCTTTTTCCTCTCTCTCTTGCAGTGGCTCTCCGAAAGAAGCCTGAATATGTTTGCCACTTTATAGGAATCTCATTTTTCCACTTGATCCTCCCTAACAACCCAGGCCTAAAACTGTCTGTGTTGTGGATCCCAGCTGATGGGAAGACAGGATGAAATGGGGAGAAGGAGACTCCTTTCCACCAGTGAATACTGTACTCATTTTCAAATGTGTTGTCCCTTCCCTTTCACCACCTCTCAGTGGTCTGGGAGTGGAGCTGGTTCAAGGTTCACATACATTCTGCTCTAGCCAGGGCCTGTGGCAGGTCTGCTAAGGCTGGTAGCTTTGAGGCATGGAAGGGGAGCATTTTTGCATTTCGTTTAGCTGCACCATTTTCCTGAAATAATATAAGATGTTTTGTACTGAGCATGTATCCAGGCTGGAGAAACACTTGTGGACATCCTGTGCTTAGGTCATGCTCTGCCTTGATCATTCCTTCAAGTTCTCTTTCTTCTCTCTAAAAAAAAATACACGATTTTAGGATAAGCAAGGAATTTCAATTTTTAGGTACAAAAGGCATACGTCAGCAGTATGCCTGCTATAAACTGAACATGTATGAATGGTATCAGCCAGCGCTCAAACAGTGGAACAGGCATGGGCAGCAGCACCCTCAACTTCTACACCACGTATCTGTTCAGCTGTCAGCCAGGAGCAGTCGCTAAGACTGAAAAACAACCATAGCCACTGAAAAACCATGCACAGTAGGAGAACACGCACACAACTTGAGCTGTGGGGAGGTTTCTTGTTTTATAGCATCAAACAAGCACCACTTACTTTACAGGGAGCTGTTACTTGCCACTGAGCTCTAGTCTTCAGACAGGAGAACTTCAGTGCATCTCCCCAGTCAGATGAGGTCTTCCCAGCACCCTGTTAATGAAACCAGTTGTAAGATGAGAACTGTCCAGGATGTTGCTAGAGGAAAGATTAAATCACACACTACTGTCTCATTAGTGTCCAGCTTTCCCAGCTTCCCTGAGGACTGTGGGCTCTTTACTCCATTTCACTTCTGGGGCTGGAGCATGTTCAGATTTGGCAGATGTTGATGATCTTGCCTTTGTCCAGGACTGCTGTCCTTGATGATCGCATTCAGGGTTTCTTTTCCTGGCCATTAACTGGTCATTCACTGCGTCTGGAACGTTTCCTTGTCACTCATCTCCTGCTTTTTTGTCAAGTAGGTATGACTATCTTGATAGTTATTTTATGGCTAATAAGTCTTCTGTCTCCAGTTACCTCGAAACTTTGATTTATATGAGGAAGATAGATTTGATAAAGCCCCTTTTCCTTTGTCAGATGAAAATATGCACAAATCTGAATCATGCTGCTCCATTACCTACCGGATTGTTTGCCCATGGTTAACAAGGCCACTTTAACACACGGCGTTCATCATGTTTATACAAGATTGGAGACCAAATTTTATGCTCTTTAAAAAGTGACGGGCAAGGAATCATAGGACTCAGTGATAAGGTAAATGACCAGTACCTGCTTTGTGCGCTATTTTGCTGGAAGTCTCCTTTGGAAGTATCTGTTACACTTCCCAGGTGTCCTATTACAGTGCGCTCTGGTTTTACATAGAATTGGCCTGCATTATTTACAAGTTGTCTCTAATTGATCATTTCAGACTTCAGATCAGAGATCATTTCCAGGACATTGTCATGCCTCTCATGTTTCTTGTGAGAGGGTAGAAACTGTCCTCCTTTACAGTGGTATAGAGGTAGAATTACAGTTGCATGCAAGAGGATTGCTAGGGGAATGTCTTAAAAAGTGAAGAGGAAATGGCATGAAGATAAGGCTGCCTTTCATTATGGGTGTCACAGGACTAGACTATCCCAACGCTGGTTCTTTTGCTGAGTTCAGTTTCTGGTCAGGGTAAGCTGTTTTAGTGAACCATTGTTACAAATGACTGTTGTTCGCCAGACACTCGCATGTGTTGTCGGCTGGCCGTTTCCCACAGGTTTGTGTTCTGACCGGCCACCAAAGCTGGCCATTCTGCCTGCAAGGTTTGAGTGCTTGTATTTGGACCTTTTATTAGCAAGACATCAAAGACTCATTTTGCCTACTTACAAGCAAAAACAAGAAAAGAGCTGCTTCTTTTGTTTGCCTAAAGTGCTTCTCTCATCTCTGTGACTGTTCAAGAGTTGCAAATAAAAAGAAAGAAAAGGGGAGCCATGACAAATTTTGTGCAAGGTTTTTGTCTTTGGATATAAAATCAGGTAAATGTGATAACTGTACAAAAGCACTTGAGTACTAAAAAGCAGACATGGGTTCACAGTGGTGTTGGCTGTGGGTAATGGAGATTAATAAATTAGTCAATATATGATACCTTTGATTTAAAGTAGGAGTTGCCATCCTGAAGATCATGGCTGCCTGGCTCTTCCCATGTTGCCAAATAATAGGAGAATCTAGCTTTTATGGAAGGGAGGGAATCCTCTCTCTTCCTTCCCACTGCTGGCATCCTTAGTTACAAGCAGTGCTGAGTTGAAGGTATTTCTCCATCAGAGCTAATTACACCAAATAATTTCAAAGCCATATGTCTATGTAAACAACTCCTAATGGGGGCTTTTTGCAGTAGCATTTACACCAAGGATTTTTTTTTCTCTAGATATCACTCATTTCGTTTCCTGTTGTTGACAGAATATATTGATGGTGTTGCCTCCTACCTTAAGGAGCTGGCATATGATGGAGTATATCAGCCCTAAATCCAAGCTGAAATTCTCCTCCTACCTATTTCTCTCAGTCTCTCCCTCAGATTGTGCTGGTATCACTGGATGTCAAAGATGTTCATTTCCTGTCAGGGCACTGCAGGTTCAAGCCTTGCATTCATGAGGAGTGGGCATTTGGAATATGGTCTAGAGTATTGCAAAGATTGGATCTTGGATATGTGTGTTCTCCTGCCTGGGACAGGAAAAAAAATGAAATCAATTAAAATATAATAGGTTCGATGCTATGCTGGCTAAAGAACAAGTTTTGGAGTGGGAAAGCTGTCGTGGATAATTTAACTCACATTTTGATCCTCTCTTTACAGCCACAGGGACTTAAAACCAGAAAACCTACTGCTGGATGAAAAGAACAACATTCGGATAGCAGACTTTGGGATGGCATCGCTGCAGGTTGGGGACAGCTTGTTAGAAACCAGTTGTGGGTGAGTGTCTCAGAACATGTTGCAAAAATCAGTGATAGATTCCAGACATAAAAGTTGTCTATAGTAAGGGTTTCAATAAAGACCTGCAGACTTACGCTGTGCATTGTTATTTCTCAGCAAAGTAATAAATTGATATGATGCACATAGTGTATAAGATAGCTAAAAGAAGGGTTTTAAAATGCTTTACAGTGAAAAGCAGGTCTCTGCAGGTGTCACATAGGGATTTAAAAATCAAGGCTTTCAGATTTGGATTCATCTGCATACGCTGGTGTGTTTGCTTTCACTGGCCATATAATTTCTGAGAACTGAAAGCAGTAGTGTTGGCTGTTTTAGGAAGAGGCTTTAGAAATATTAGGGGGTGAAAAAAATGAATCTAGGGGTTTTGAAATGGAATTTGCATGTCCTGATTAGGCTGCCTTCTTGCAGCTCTTCCTGTTCATGCTCCACACTGCTTCGTTTCGGCTCACATGCAGGACTGACAGGGAGGCAGCCGGGTCCTTTGCAATTACAAGCAGGGCATGAATGCAGATACAAAGGAGACTGCTTGGAGGAATATTGCAGGGGCAATTTAAAAACATTTCCATGGCGATTCAATTGCCAGCAAGAGCTTTCTAAGAATTTCCAAGGGAGCCAGCAATAAGCCCAACAGCTGAGCAAAGCCCGGGTGCCTGGCAGCGGACAGGACGTGCTCTCTGGGGGCAATGCCCTCTCATCACCATTCCCTCTAGGGACACCACTGCACCATGCACCGCTCACCCCAAACCCCAGCTATGGCTTGGTGCTCTGTTGACTGTGGGGGGCTGCCAGAGTGAGCTGTGGCAAGGGCAGCAGCTGCATCAAGCTGCTTCAGGCTGGGCCCGTTATGCCAGCTTTTACCTGTGTCTGAATTTTTATAACAGCAAACTCAGAAACTGGAGCTGGAGACAGTACCAGCGGATTTCCACCTCCTCCCATACAGACCTACTCTTCCTGGCCTTTGGTAGTGTGAATCTGATAACTCCAGCCCAGCCCTGTCCTCAGCTGATTACAGTCCATGTTTTTTCAGTCTGTGCTCTGAGCCAAGGTAGTTCAGGGTAGACGTGGAGCCATCGTGGTTCCCTGTACAGCCCAGCCACTGCCTCTCAGTCCTGAGCTGTACGGCTCTGCTTTCAAAGTCATGAATAATGGATAGCAAAATTATTTGAAGTTCATGATGTGATCGAATGCTGGCTGATGAGTACACTGAGACCCACACGTTCCTTCCTGTCCACGTCAAGTCAAGATTTGATCTCTTAGCAGCACAGATGAAAAGCAAGGAGCTATGAGTTTGCACATCTGTTGCTTTCAGCCGCTTTCAAACCTCCCCTCTAGATGAGGAAATAAAGTCCTCCCTGCAGTTAACCATGAAGCCTGTATACTCTTTAGATAAAATTTTCCCCCTTCCTTCCATGAAAAAAACAGAGGAAGTATAAAAGCCAACGCAGTCTCACATTGCCCTGTAGGATTTTTCAAACTCCTCAGGAACCTCTCGGTAGGGTTCCAGTCCTTGTTAGCACCAGGCTCTGTCATCCAGGCCTACAGTCTCAAAGGGAGACTTCCTTTCCATAAGCTGTGCTGGAATTCAAACCTCCATGCTTCAAGCAGAGCCAGCCCCCACATTGCGGCCTTAAAACGTGCTAATAAAGAAATCAATGGAACGGAAGAGATGTGCCTGTAATAAACAGAACACAGCAGCAATGCTATGATCTCCTGCCTTGCAGATGCATTTTAAGTGTGGTGCCAATCACTAGGCCTCCGTGTGAGCTATTACACCACTTCATTAATTCTCCTGGCATGGAGCCCAGCATGGCTGATACTGGTGTCTTGTGATCTCTCTGGTTTGGGGGGTGAAGCGAGGAAGGAAGGAAGGAATATATAACAATATGCCACACTGTTCACAAAGAAAGGCAATCCAGTTATGACTCCCTTTCCCTTGGAGCACACAGAGTAACCTCAGAGCTTTTCAAGGCAACAGTTTTACCTACCCTTGTAGCTGGTACTTTCAGCCAGCATGAAAAGGAACAAAACAGAGTGAATCATGGCTGAGATACTGAGCTTTAATAAGATGCTCCTCTGTGCACCCAGAAGTTAATTTCCAGAATGGTTTTATCTGTACTGTGAACACCGATAATGAGATGAAACTGTAACATTTCCATTGACAGTCACGCAAGGAGTCTCCAGGTATTTCTGTCAGTCAGAGTGGGAGGATCAGATGGGGTTGAGCTGTGTGATGCAGCTAACTTTGTCAGTACAGCAGAGCAGTTAGCGTGCAGTCAAAAATTCTTTGCTGTCACAAGTGACTTGCTAAGTTTAGGCCAAAGTTTGGGTAGGCTTTAGGTCACCACAGAGCCTTGACTGGCCTCCTGAAGATAATCATGTAGTCTAAAGTATGCTGTATTGCCTACCTCAGAGTCAGTGTTTTCTGAGAGCCACTCCTTAGATCTGCACAGATTTCTGTAGCACTGATGGCTACCTGGAGAAAACAATAAAAGTTCAATCCAGCTGTGTCTGTGTAGGAGAGCGAGGTAAGGGTGGACTTGCTGTTTCATTGACATAATTTGTCACTGACAGACTGCCCATTGGATCTTGATTGTAATGAATCTCCATTACTGGAAATGTCTATTGCGCAAATCTTGCATATACAAAGCACAGAAGAATAAGCCATAATTTTAAACATATGTCTTTAGACCCTTGAAGGGAAGAGGAGCTGTATGTAGGGTTTGCAGAAATAACTCAGCTTACTGCAGAAGTTGCACAGCAAGGCAGCCTCATGGAGAGATGGTCCTTGAAATGCCAAAGTAACGCAGTGAGTCTCTGCATTCCTCCAGGAGCGGGGGACGTCTGTGATCAAACAGCAAAGGAAGGAAGCGGAAGATGCGGTAGGATGCTGCTTCTATTATTTTAGATCTCTTCAGCTCTTACTCCTCTTTATCCATCCAGGCAATGGCATGCAGAGACACTCCCCTGTCTCTTTTCACAGTGATTCCTCCCAGCACACTGCCTTGCAGTGTTTCAGAATGGTAGATACTGTCCAATCCATCCTGAATTGTCACTAGGCAAGAAGAGTGAGTGCCTTATGGTTAAACCTCAGGACTGAGACCCGGGTGATCTGAGCTTGGCTTCTGCCTCTACTGAAGGCATTCAGGGTGGTCTTGGACAAGACGCTTTACCTTCCTCTGCTTCAGTTCTCCATCTTAGCAAGTCATTGCAGTGCGCAGGTTGCTCTGAACGTAAATTGCAGTAATTTCTATAGGAGTCTTGGAAAAGTAGGAAGTGTTGGGGCATTCCCTGGACCTTGTTCCCTTTTCTTGAACTAAGAGGGCTTATGGCTAAAATGAAGGATTGAAAGAAGATACTGTTGAGTTACGATTCTTGGGAGTTTGTAAAGGTCTTTCCTAATTCCCCATTGCTCCTCACAGAAACCTGGCAAAGTAAATTTTTGCCATCTCTTCACTTCTCTCCGTTTCACTCATCACAGCTTCAAATCACTGAGTCCTAGTGGGTGGAGATTCCTGCAAGCTGGCAGATGACTGAGAACCCACAGCAGTGCTAGTCTGTGTGCTGCCTGCCTCCAAATCTCTCGATCCCAACCAAAAGCTAGGACAGAGCTGACGTGTAAATGTAGCTTGCTCCAGCACCAGACCTGATCTCTGCTGAGGCAGTCGGTATGGAGACTGACGCCACTGCTGACAGCCCCACAATTAACTGACTGTATGCAACAGTTCCCCCATATTGGTGTCTCCACAGGGAACCCCTAGCCTGATCCAGAAAGCTGTGTGCATGTGGGAAGAGCAATGCAGATCATGATTTTTTTGAGAGTGAGAAGAAAGCCTTGTGCCTGTCAGTGGCATAATGGAGGAAAACAGCAACTTCCAACCCCAGCACAGTCCATTCCTCTGCTCTCAGCTCTCCCTAGCAATTCCTAGCAACACTTTGCAGACCCACAGATTGCCTGGATCTATCAAAAAAAAAAAAAAAAGCACATAATCTCATTAAGAACTGATTACTGGCTCTTTTTGAGCTCAGGGTATTTATAACAACCATTGCACTGTGTGTTTGTTAGAAATGCTAGCAGAGATCATCTAGTTCCTGATTCCCTTACATCTGTATTTGGTGTATCAGCACACCCGTGATGAGCAGATAATTCAGGAGAGCGATATTGATTTGCAACACACCTCAGTGTCCAAGCACTGTTTCTGATTTTAATGACAAGACGTGATGCTGCACATATTCTTTCCCCTTTATAATAAATGTGTGCATGTTGTCTAAAACATATGCAAGTGTCCTACATTCAGTTATTGTTAGGCTTGCAAATTTAGGCTCTTAAAATTGGAAATGCCAGAATTAGTACTTTTTACTCTATCTCATCAAGAGCTTCCATTCCCAGCACTCCGTTCCCATCTCCTTCCCTGATTTGCTCTCTAGTCTTGCTGACTTCTCCCAGTCATTTCTGCTCTGTATTTGCCCCAAATCCCAGATCCTTTTCTCTTTTCCACTAGGTTCCAGCTCTAGTTTACCCTACCTGGTTGTCCCAGTCAGTTGCTGTCAGTCCTGGATCTATTTCCCGTTGGTTCTGCACTCACTTTGTATTAAAGTTTGGTACCTTGTGACAACCCCAGCCGCAGCAGCTCATAGTATCAGTTTCAGGTAGAAAAATTGTTCTGTGAAGTTTTACCAATGCAAATAGAATTTTCATCCTGATGCTCTAGGGTGTTTCTGCTCGTAAATGCAAACTGCAGTTTTCTAGTGGCAGTTTGAGTAAATTTTTCTAGAGAATGCAAACAAATACTCAAGTTTTCCCTTTGCAGTTGAGAATACTAGAAATTTTCCTTTTTTATGGGAAAAAAATATTTAATTTAGATTAGACTTAGATGGTGGAAATGTTTTGGCCCATACACAACATGCATGCACACACAAGCATGAAACCAGTCTGAGGCAGATGACAAGCATGGAAAATTGTTGTTAAGTTGTTAAATTGACGG